CGATGAACTCTCCGTATTCAAAACAACAGAGCTTGGAGCTGAGAACTCAACGAAGGTTCTTGTTATCCATAGTGAGCTTATCTGCAGGTTGCAAGAGTAATACACAGGTATAGGTAGTTTAAGGTATTATCGTTTATGCTATTTTTGCATTCACCTATAGACCCATGTGGGATGTATGCGGGGGGGGGGGGGGGGCAGAGTGTGTTGAGTAGCATCCATAAGGGATGAATTGTAGCTGAGAGCTCAGGGGTCAAAGTATTAAACATTCCATGCGGTTGTGTGGGTAGAAGTTGAATGTATGCGCGCATATATACATCATTCACCTCTACAGGGTGCGAATACAATACCATTTTGAGTAGCACTCTGGGTGAACGAGCTGTTGTCTCTACACATCGTGCCCCCAGTGCCATCCAAGTGCATTTTAGGCACTTGCACTGCAACATATGTGTGCTCTTTCAACCCCAAGGGCTGAAACCTTCTAAATGCTCAAGTGTACCAATGGCTCTGGGACAAACTACAATATAAGCGCAGCTGTTATGGGGCTCAAAAGGGGTCTCAGAAGTGGGCTTTCATACTTTGCATCTGCCTTGAATTTCTGCTGCACACTGTCTGTGGAACTTCAAAATATTCAGAAAATTGCGATTTCAGTAATCTGAAGTATTTTCAGCCAGGAAAGCTGGGTTTGGGATGCTGAAAACTGTCCAAAAAGCACGGCCCGAACCCAGGATTGAACTGGGGACCTCGCCCATTACATAAGCGTTACGTAATGACTAATTTAAGTCACGTTTTAGCTTCCCTAAGGGCGAATCATACCACTAGACCATCCGGGCTTGTTGGAGGCTCACTCGCGAGTGTTATGTACTCTATGTGTAATTCAGACAACTGAACTGCCTCTGGTAGAAACGATACAGTCATAGTCATCCTAGTCCTAGTATCGATAGCTCAACACTCGCTGGGTGGTTGTAGGTAAACCGCAGTAAGTCTATATATGGCTTTTTACATTGAACCGCAGGTTGTATGCGCATAATGCTTAATGTTGAAGCCTGTAGCTAGGTAGAGGCTCAATCTTACATATACTTGAAGCATTAATAGTATTTTTGGTTTGACTTGTGGTGCCCCACCGACAGGGGAGGGTGGGCCATAATTAAGCGCCGGGTGGGTGACTTTCTACGATAATACCCCATAGTAAGCGCTAAAATCTTGTTTTAAGGTGTGCATAAGCGCACCACGTACACAAAGATCAAGGCCAAGTAATGTGTAGGTGGCTGGATTCTTTTTAAAAACGTACTGTAGACAGGGTCTTGTATGTAGAGGCAGGTCCTAGCTTATCACGTGCCCGCTGGCGCATTAAGTAAACAGAAACCGTTGCGCCAAACTCCCACCATACCGCCAAGGACAGTGCTCAACTTTTCATCTTTTCAACCGGGCGTGGCAAGTCTATGTCTGTATGGAGTATTTTGCCAAATTCCTTCGACCCACTGCGCAGAGCTCCGCAAAACCTGAACGTGACCATCTTGGTGAATTTCACAAGGCTTGGGATGTTGTCAAGGCATGTATTGGCATATACAGAGGATTATTTATCGCCCGAGTAACGATAGATCTGTAGAACACGCTCCTCTACCCTGACGAGCGCCAATTGACCAAGGGCATTTCGTCTACTGACGTGACGCCCAACTTGCAACTGATGGTCGATGAACTCGTTTGGGAATCTACAAGAGGAGACCAGGAGTCAGTGCATACTATTTGAGCCTTCTTATACTGACCTGATAGTTAAAAGTTCCACTGGGGCCTGTCTGGAGTCTTTGCTCAAAAACGGTGCGGAACGCTTCTTTGATATGGCCTTCTATCTTATTCCTCTTCAGACATACTTGGTACTCTCGTAAGCCTGAGCGAGACTGACAGGCCGTTTGGCGTGCAAGCCGAAGTACTCAAAACAATTGGTAATCTGGTTGTTTTAATGGACGAGCAATTTCTCGTACATACCGCAGTGCACAAAGCGGTTCTTCGATTACTACGAGTTTGCGTTGGGGACCTTATTGACGAGGCACCTCAAAGCTCCTCTAAAGCCATGGGTGCGGCTAGTGTTTCGCAAAAAAGTAGCATAGCAAATTATGAAGAAGACCGTGCGTACTCCTCGCACTGCTTTGTAGCATGGTATTAACTTACAATAGTTGTTGATCTACTCTGCACACTTTGCAGTCGTATCAGAACATATAGAGAGCTACTTATGATCTTTTTCCACGACAAGCACTGGGTCCAATCTCAACATGTATCCGTTGGAGATGAAGGAGACGACGAAGAGGCAGCAGAAGAGGAGGCGGAAGAAGAAGCAGCCAATAGAGTTGTTCGCAGCTTATTATCAACCACTCCCAGAGTACCTTCCCCATCATCTTCAACGTCGACAGTCACCGCCTCCGCTCCTCAGGTCAAAGCTGAATATGAATTCCTGTTGTTCAACTATTTGCTCCGTTTTGTCCACCGCGAAGGTAAAATAGGCGATCTGGCGCGCGCTGGGTTGTTGTTCCTTCTTGACGTTGCTATGTCTGCCCCAGAACAGCCAAAATCAGCTGGCGACCCAATGGATCCCTCATCTGATGCGGCGCTAGCTTTGGCCGAGTATGTCCTGGACGGCGATTTCTCTGACGTGCTCGGTGCGGGTCTCGCCGCGGTCTATTCTGTGTTGCCCTACAAGCTTGAAATTCAGCGTGATTATCTCGCCGAGTCTGAGGCCCAACATGGCGGGATGCTACTTGGTGGTCGTTATGTCACGTCTGCTGAAGATGAGGCTGTTCGATTAGAAGAAGCAGAAGAACGGGGGCGAGAGCTTGGTATGGGCGTATCAACAAGCGCTGAGTTCCGTTCTCGCTTGGATCACTTCCTGAAGATGGCAGAATTTATACAAGACGTGCTGAGGCGCAACGATGCACCATTCTATTCGTCACAAGCCGGAGGATTGTCCGAGTCCGACCCCAGCGTAGAGCCGATTCTGGAGCCGTCCGTACTTGTTGGGAGTGCCATCTCCGAGTCCATCTTGCGCGCTTTCAGAGCGGTGTTTCTGGAAAACGTACTGTATCCGTCGATTCTAGAGTGCTCGGACGTGGATGGGAGTGCGGTTGCTGTGCTTTCGTACATCGAGGTCTTTCTTCGTGTGCTAAAAACGGGAAAAATGACCGAAACTCTCGTCAAATATTTGATGAGCGAGGAGGTCGCGGAGCCAACGCGCCCAAGCGAATCCACGAGCCGAGTCGACGGAACAACTAGAGTTTCTCGTCGGAAAAGTAGTGCTATGACACTACTTGAACGAGAGGCTCCCCAAAAGCATGGACAAGCATATTTTAGCTCTCTAGGACGGTTCACTCTCAAGGATCTTATATTTTCCAACATACAATCCGAGTCCTCATCAGCAGCAACCGCGTCGTTAAAGCTCCTTCACTGCCTATTGCAGCAACATTGTGAAATGTGCACGGACCAGCTACTTTCTGTCAAGGGCGATCCCCATGCTACGTCTTTTCCTTACTTGGCGCCCATACCAGTTACGGAGGTTGACCTCCCCGCGCTCGACTCGGACTCCGAGGAAGAGTTTGTGTATCCGGGAGGGGACGAAGATGCTCCAGCCGGGCCAAAAACCCCTCCAGCTTTCAGCAAGCCTTTACTCGCCGCAGTGCGGCCGGATACTACGTATGCTACACACGAGCGGGAACTTGGGCTTTATCTCTCCCTTGTGTCACGAATCAATCCTAGCGATGAGTTGGATGTCTTTAGCACCGGGTATGAAAACTATGTTCGAGATGCCTTGGACATCTTGCAATCGGAGGTCTGCTATTGTCGCGGGTTAGATGGAGACAATTCGCATACTAGTTGGAAGCACAGATTGCAGCCCACAGACGCATTGCTAAAATTGCTCCTTCATGCACTTCGCCGCTTTTTTATGCAGGCTCCCGAGTTCAACGTCGCACTCACTGGAGTGTTGTCGATGATTTCTTGCTGCCCAAACCGCTCTCTCATCGGATGGCTTTCCTTCGAAATCGAATCACAACCTCCGGAACCCATATCAGCCGAAACTCCCGATGATGGCGACGACCGCTCGATTGACTCAACTCGCTCGCTCAAAGCAGCGCCCACGTCGGTCAACCCAAACGAGATAGATACACGACCGGTTATCTACGACGCGCTGCTTGGCCTCGTAGCTCAGCTTGATCGGTACCGCGACCGCATACCAAATTTCGATAAACACTTGGTTGACCGCCACCAGGGCCTGTTGTTCTCAGAAAATATTAGTGACGCTCTAAATCTTAGTCTTTCGTTGGACGTTACTAGCGAACCAGCGCATTTGCAATTACCACTACCTGGGACACCACCGCGACCAAAGGCGAAAGCAACAGGCTCATCGTTCATGTCTTTCCTCACCCCCAAGAAGCACAAAACGACGAATACTGGAGCTATCACCCCATCCAGTACCCCCAGTGAACCGATACCTTCACCTGGCACATCAAAGGTCGTTTCTGCAAGTCCGTTTAGCGCACACTACCAGACTACATCCATTATTGATCTCGACGGTGTGGCAGCGCCAGAGCCTGCCGCCGGCCCGTGGTCATCGGCCCAAACGCGAAAGGGCGTGCAACGTATCGAGGATGATGTATTTACAGCGTGGAAGGATGACGATGTCCCCAAGCCAGAGGCATCTACGGGCAAAGAACAAGAAAGCGCCGCAAGACGAATCACATTATCCCAACTATTGGACAACGCGGTCATCCTTGAAGAGTTTGTTAAAGAATTGGCTGGTATCATACAAGCAAGGAGGAGCTTGGGGATTGACGCCGTCCGGTTTTTTGATTAAATGCGTAAGGGAATATTGTAGCGGATTTTTCGTGTACACCTATCTATTCAGCTTTCGCCTTCGCTTCGCCTTTCTTCTGCACAATGACAAATAGACCACGCTGTAAAATAACGGCCCGCTTGTGAACTACTTAGCATAGACCGAATGATTCAAGATACTCACATCTGAATAGAGCGTGAGCGCGGCCTTGGGCCAGCATTGTTCAACTCCCTTTCTGCCAGGTTCACCTTTCCATT